CCTCCTGCTCCGCCCGCGTCGTCACGTCCGGCGTCATGGCGTTGTCGTGTGTCTCTACGCTCTCTTCAAAACTCCTCCTCCTCGGGTTGCCGCGGCCACTGCGGTCGTGTCTGCTCCACAACTTTCCAAGAAAGTTCAGAAACTCGGCTCCGGAGCGGCGGAGGGGCTTGGGGCAGGCACCTCGGGGGCCGCCGGGCGAGCTCCGAGGGTGCGCGGCCACCACAGCTTCGCGGGCCCCGCACCTGCCACGTCCGCCGCCGCCGCTGCCGCCCTGTGCCAGGCTGTGGGCAGACCCAGGCTACGGCAGCGGCGGTGGCGGCGGCAGCGGGGTTGCCTCCTGCCGCCTGCGCCTTCGCCAGGGTCCCCTGAGCCGCCACCGCAGCCCCACGTGCGCGGTGGTTCCCGGAGCGCACGTTCTGTGCTTACTCAAAAAAATTATTTTTTAAACTTTCCTTGGGTCTTTCTTTTCTCCATCCCTACTTTTTCATAAGAGAAAAAAGTGCCGAAAGTGTCCATCGATTGCCACCTCCCCATTATCCTTCCTGCTCTTGCTGCCCCCCAATTTTTTTTTTTAAAGCGGCGGCAACATTGTTTAGTGATTATTCTGTTTCACAATCGGTAGCTTCCTTTGCTTGGTCGGGGCGGCTGCTGAACGGCGGAGTGGCGTGGACCTCATGTAGAAATGACAACAATGGAAGGGGCCAGCGGGTCGAGTTTTGGAATAGACACGATTTTGTCCAGCGCCAGCTCGGGCAGCCCCGGAATGATGAATGGAGATTTCCGCCCGCTCGGTGAGGCCAGGACCGCGGATTTTAGGAGTCAGGCTACCCCGTCCCCTTGTTCGGAGATCGATACCGTAGGAACAGCGCCTTCTTCTCCTATCTCGGTCACCATGGAGCCCCCGGAGCCGCACCTGGTGGGAGACGGGCCCCAGCATCACCACCACCTCCACCACAGCCAGCAGCCGCCGCCGCCTGCAGCGGCTCCGACGCAAACTTTGCAGCCTTCGCCCCAGCAGCAGGCGCCGCCGCCGCCACAGCAGCCGCCACCGCCCGCCCAGCAGCTGGGCACGGCCGCCTCGGCCCCCAGGACTTCCACCTCTTCTTTTTTAATTAAGGACATCTTGGGCGACAGCAAACCTCTGGCGGCGTGTGCACCCTACAGCACCAGCGTCTCCTCTCCCCACCACACCCCGAAGCAGGAGGGCAACGCGGCGCACGAGAGCTTCAGGCCAAAGCTGGAGCAGGAAGACAGCAAAACCAAACTCGACAAGCGGGAGGACTCCCAGGGCGACATCAAATGCCACGGTGAGTCGCGCCGCTCCCGCTGCTGTCCAGCGTCTCCTTCGCGTTCCCGTTCTCCCTCCAGCGAGATCTCAGAGGGGGAATCACTCCGGGAGCTTTCTCGGGCCGCTGGGCCCCGGTCAGACACCCGCAAGGTGCGGGGAGGCCGGGGCTAGCGCTGCGGAGACGGCCGAAGTTCTGTTCATTGTTACATTGCTACCCCCAACCCCCGCTGCCTTCGCTGCCCTGTAGCGCCTTTCTTTGTTTTGCTTAATTTTAATGCGTTAGGGGGGGCAACATCAGAGGCGATCTGATGAGGAGTGCTTTTCGTTGATAAAAGGGGCAGACTTGAGATTTTTCTAGCCAAGACCTTGAGAACGGCAGTGGGGGAGGTGGGAGAGGGAAACCGCCTGGCTAGCGTGGTGCCTGCGGACGGATCTGCAACCTGCTGTTTATTCTTTAATGCAAATGATTTCATGCCCCCTCCACCGTTTTCAAAACAGTATCACAGGAATTACGGGTTTTGGTGAAGGAAGAATTCTGAGTTCATTAATAGAACAACTTTTAAAAAATGATTATTCATATAGGGAAACCTGTAAAAATTGATAATCAGGTTTTTTTTTTTAATCCCTTCTTACTCTAGGGCTGGGAATGAATATGTGTATTTTAATAATATTTTTGGGCCTTTATAAATATCTGGGAGGTGGCATTTGTAAAAATAAAAATTTTCGGAATTACAATACATTTTTGTAAAATCAGCAGGTGACATGTGAAATTGTCCTTCAACTCTTATTTCTCATCAGACAATTTCATCAGTACGTGTTCTGATCTTTGCATGGCAAAAGAGTCCTAACATAACAGGAGAGTTTCTTTTTCCCTTTCCCAGATAAGTTTTATTATTATTCTTATTAATCCTTGCTTCCCTAGTAAAGTGTGCTGACTGGAAGGTAGAATACTGGCTCCTCATTTGACTATTGTAACATTAGCATAATAGTGCCCAAAACAGATGTACAGTCTGGTCTGGCGATTTTTTGTGCACCAACCTCCCCAGTGGGTCAATTAGAGAGATTATTGTTCTTCCTGCAGGGAAGATCAAGGAACGCTGCACAAACGGGTACAAACAGAGAGGGATTGACATATCGATTTCCCAGCATTTCAGTAAAAAACCAGAGTTGACAAATAGAATCCGGAAATCTCTGAGCTGTCACCTGGACGGGCTCAGTGATTTTGAGCTCAGCTCGGCGTCTGGGTGACACGTTCTTTCTGAAGCTTCAGCCTGCTGCAGAAAGCTTGATGCCAACATTTCCCAAGAGCGTCTGGAAAAAGAGAAACAAAAACCTACAACTTTGAGCAAGCGGGAGAAAGAGAAGTGGAAAAGGTGCCCCTTTGTCCAAAAAAAGCAGAGTAGAAAGACCCTTTGGAAAATACCCAATCAGAAAGTGAAGTCATAGTGAAAACAATACAGAAAAGAGGCAGTGTCCCCCCCCCCCAAAAAAGAAAGAGCAGCAACAAAAGAACCTGTATTGGAAACTATTTTATATACTTTGTACTTAAGCTCGTTTTCTCTCTAGCTATACTTTCCCCCTTGCACCCTTGTGAAGATCAGACCTCCTTTAGAAGCCTTTTAGGACTTCTTCTCAAGACCCCACATTCCTCAGCCAGAAAATGGTCCTCGTCCTCCACACTGGCTGAGGCCCAAGTATGTGTGTGTGGCAGAGGGGTAGCAGAGCGTTGTTCCAGTGCGTGCCAGGAGGATGCTTTCTCGTTCCCCGGTGCAGGCTGTCTTACATGGCTGTGTCCGGGTTTCTCTCGTAGGAACAAAGGAGGAAGGAGACAGGGAGATCACTAGTAGCCGAGAGAGTCCCCCCGTGAGAGCCAAGAAGCCTCGAAAAGCCAGGACGGCTTTCTCGGACCACCAGCTCAACCAACTGGAGCGTAGCTTTGAGCGGCAAAAGTACCTGAGTGTGCAGGACCGCATGGACCTGGCAGCTGCGCTGAACCTCACTGACACCCAAGTGAAGACCTGGTACCAGAATCGCAGGTAAGGGAGGCTGTTGTGGGAGCGCAGGTGGCCGGCCCTTCAGGTCCCCGCCAGGGCCCCAGTGTCCTTCCCTCCTGGCCTCTGGAGACTGGGGACTAGGAGTCAGAGGGCTGCTGTGGGCAACAGAGAGCTTTCAGGTAGGGGCAGGGATTAGCCACAGCCTGGAGGCGAGAGAGACCCCGGGGCATGTGGGGTTTGGACAGTTTGGTACTTTGAAGAGTCTTAACAGGTGCTCCTTTCCCTCTGATACCCCAGCTGCTGGAATTCACTGCACTTTGTCCCCAAATCAATCAAGCCACACCTTCTTAAATTGAGACATCTGTGCAGCTGACACTCAGGCCCAGAGAGCTCCTGCTGCACCTCCCGGCTGGTTCCCAATGTGTGTTGCTGCAGCCCGGTCAGGCTGCTGCTCCCCACAGAGCTGTCCCACCAGCGTCTGCTGACGAGTCCTTCCTTTGGCCTGGGAGGTAGCCGGGAGAGGCAGGGCCCCGGCCTCCGTGGGCACAGCCACTGAGACAGGGAGAGCCCAGCTGGGTTAGGGTTGGGATGGCAGCCGCAGGCTGGAGAAATCGGGCAGCCAGCCAAGTCCACAGACCCAGGGTCTGTCCTGCGTACCGGTCGCCCTCGCTGTCTCCAGAGGGAGAAAGGGGGCCGGCAGCGCCCGCCTGGCACATCTGCTTCCGTGGAAGGGAAAGTTGGGGAAGCTGCGGGCAGCATGGGCAGGGCCCAACCCGAGGGACAGGGCCTGGGCTGGCCGCCGCCGAGGGGGTGCCGAGCTCCGATGGCCGCCGCTCATCTCCTGGGTCTCGGCTTTCTCTTCCCCCTCCCGGTCTCTCGTTTGTGTTCTAATCGTCCATAAGTGCGGTTGGAAATGCCCATCCAGTTGTCATCTTTACCATAATTTTCTGTCTCATTACATACGGTTTCAGCCACCCTAATTCTGTCGGAAAACATTAGTGTCATTTGTAGCCAATTTAAAACGGGCGACATGTTTATTAATTTGGCTGGGGCTGCCGGGCCGAGGAGGAGGGCCCAGCAGCCCTGCCTTCCCTTCCGGCGTCAGGCCTTCGCGGGCAGGCCTGCTCGGCCCCTCTTCCTGGCGGGGGTACGGCGTGGGGGGAGCGCCGAGGCCGGGGAAAGCGGATCACAGGTTTTAATTGTTACTTTCTCCCGGAGGAGGAAATATCGTGAAATGCATTCCCTTTCTCCTCCCCCTGGCCCGGAGGCATTGCCCCCTTGGGAGAACCTTCCCGCCAACGAATTCTGTTTTGAAATCTTGTCGCCCTCCTGTCCCCCTGGAAGATCATGTCAGGTTGATGAGAGTCTCCACAGCCCCTGGGGGCCGGCAAGGGCTGGGGTCCCAGGCCCGGTGGTCTCCCCTTCCCTTTGTTTGCGGTTTCGGTTTCTTCTCTCGACCTGGGGGGCGGGGGAGGGGCTGCGCGCAGACCCCCTGGGAGCCTTGGGGTGGGGGGTGAGACCCAGGCCCCGGGGTAGGTGGGGAGCGCGGGGGTGGGGGGCTGCGGTAAGGAAAAGGGTCCCGTTCGGGCCCCCAGCAAAGTTTGACGAAGTCAAAGTAGTAGGGGCCGGGCCGCGGAGCGGAGGGGCAGGAATCGGCTGCGAAGCTGCCAGGATTTCAGGTGCGGGTGTCTCCGGCCTCGAGGGTGGAGCTTCCAGAATGGACTCGGGCCCCGTGCGGGGGCGGGACGTGCGGCACCCGGGTTTTCGGCGTTCTCCAGGCCTTCCGGCCAGGAGGCGAGGAGGGCCGGTGCGGGGCCCGGGTGCCTGGGCCGTGCCCACAGCCGCTGGGGGCGGGCGCGCCCGCTGTCTTTCAGGACCAAGTGGAAGCGGCAGACCGCCGTGGGCCTGGAGCTACTGGCCGAGGCCGGGAACTACTCAGCGCTGCAGAGGATGTTTCCGTCGCCTTATTTCTATCACCCCAGCCTGCTGGGCAGCATGGACAGCACGACGGCGGCGGCGGCTGCCGCGGCCATGTACAGCAGCATGTACCGGACTCCTCCAGCTCCCCACCCCCAGCTGCAGCGGCCCCTGGTGCCCCGCGTGCTCATCCACGGCCTCGGGCCTGGGGGACAGCCGGCGCTCAACCCCTTGTCCAACCCCATCCCTGGCACCCCGCACCCCCGGTGAGGAGGGGAAGAAGGCGCCGCCAACCCCGCCCCATCCCCGCCCCGACCCACACAAGCTGCCCCTTCTCTTCCCGCACTGAGCCACCGGGACTCCCGTGCAGCCGAGCCTAGGAGGCCGAGGAGTAGGAGAGGAAGCCGCTCATCTGTGAGCTGGGGGTCCCCCAAAGAGGAGCCAGCCCTCTGCTCTCCATCTCCCCACTCCCAGACCCAGGGCTGGAAAGCACCCCTACAGCTGTGTGACTGGCGGAAAACGCTGACCCACACGAGGTGCGACCAGTAAGTGGAAGCGTCAACGGAAACAAAACCTCAAGTTCTTCTTTTCTTTCTTTATTTTTTTTTAAACGACTTTAGGGACAAGCAGGAGGGAGGGAGGGGGGAGGGCTGAGGAGGGCAGGACGAAGGGCACGGAGAGGGAGCTGAGGCAGAGCGCACTGCGGAGGACAGCCGAGGCGGAGGCCTGCATGGACCTTCCGTGTGCCCCGGAGAAAGGAGGAGGGTAACTGAGAACTTTGCACTGATTTCTCATGACCTTTTTTCTTTTGGAAAAGTGGCATGCTCCATAATATGAAAAAAATGTACATTTGAAAGACTGAGTGATAAGTGATATATCATATTTATTATATGTTGTCCCAAAAAAGAGTCACTTATATACGTTAGTAAAAACATGATTTTTTTCTTTTCATGTCTTTTGGATTCAGTAAAATAAATGCTTAGACGAAAGATATAGATTTTTTTGTGATTGAAAATTACAAAAATAAAGTTTATCTTTTTTTAACAAGCGATGCAATCCAAGGGAGCTGATTTTACCAAAACAGAATGTACTGTGTTGAAATGTGCGGCTTGGCTTAGAAAAAGAACCAAATCCCTTTGCACGTGTATTAGGAATGTACAGAATCTGTAGACATTGTATAAGAACAGTGCCTTGGTTCGCGCTGGCCCCTTCTGAGCCGTTCTAAGAAAGGTGCGAGCTCTTTTCTTTTCTAGCGGATGTTCTCGGAGCAGCCCTTGGGACCGGGAGAAAGTCTGCGCTTGCAGCCTGTTGGTGCTGGCCAAGTGGGCGTCCAGGAGGCCTCAGCCTGACCCGGTGTGGGGATGTGTCTGTGTATCCCTCCCCCTTCTAGGGCTCTGCCGGGGTGCCCGGCGCAGGGCTGCAACGCCGGCAGGGGCTAGGCGGCCCGCGGACGCTCCGCGGGCTTCGCAGCTGTTCTGCCGCCCGCGGCTGGGCGCCCGCGCCGCCGGACAGCCTGCGAGCGGGAGGCTGCGGGGCGAGCAATTAGGACGCCCCGCGGGACGTGCAGAGGCCCAGCTAACAAACCCTCGTGGTGGCTTTGATCCTTGGCTTCTCGGTCCCCAGCGGGCAGGCGGTCGTCCAGCCGCCAGCCCCACACGGAGCCGCTGGTCTTAGTGAGTTCCCGGTGCTGTGATAATGTCTGGATCGGGAACGCAACGGCCAACTCTGGCCGAGACATACGTGCCAAGTCTTTTATCCGAGCCCTTGCCAGGGCTGGGCCCGCGAAATGAGAGGCCCTACCCGGAGGATGGAGGAGCGAACTGCCTGCTTTAGGAGTGTGTGAGTGGGCGTGCATCCCTGTGTGTGTAAATTTGCACGCCGGGCCGAGGCTTGACTTGGGCCAAGGGTACCCCTGATCGAGCTGGCTCCCTACCGGGCCCAGCGGGTGGGACACTATGAAGGAACACCTATGTGAGAGGCGCCGCTGGGGGGAGGGGTGCTGACCCCGGTGCTCTCCAGCCCCGAGGTCACTTCCTGAGTAGCCAAGGACTGGGATCCTCTGTCCGTGGTACTCACTTTGTCATAATTCTTGCCGCAGCAAGGTGACAAAGGGGTAAAACAACAGCAAAAATCCGTCTAGTCCTGGCCTCCAACTTTCTCCAACAGGCAACCCTAGTGGAGTTAGAAATCGCTTAAAAAAAAGAAAGAAAGAAAGAAAAAAAAGGAGTGGTGTGGGAATGTATGGTGAGGAGGTATTGGAAGGAAGCAAGGAAAAGGGAAGTGAAATCCAGGAGGAAATTGCCTCAGGCACCTTGATCAGACCTTGGCTAATTAGGGAGTGGTTTGCAGATTTCTCTCCAGCTCATCAATTTGCTGTAAAAACTGGTCTTATTTGATTCTAACAAAGGGTCTGGACTGGCCCGTCTCATTTTCTGCCTGCTGAGCTGGGACAAACCCAGGCAGCTTGGTTTGGCTGGAAGCTGGGTGCCGCTCTGTCCAGTGGGGGCTGCCCAGGGCCTGGACACTCAGCAGAGTCCCTTGTTCCATCTTAGCTGCAGTCGAGTTTCTTTCTTTCTTTTTTAAAATCAAGACTAAACCGTTCAACAGTGGTCTGTCTAGGCCTGAAGGAAGACTTTCTAAGGCTTGAGGGCGCTACAGCTTCTGTCTGCACTACACTGGGGGCTGGTCAGCTCTGGGCGCAGGGGGAACCTGAGAGATCACAGAGTTCACCATACAAAGAATTCATGCTAAGAATTACTGCAGATCTAGTTGGAGAAATCACAATCAAACCTACAAATCCTAGCAAGCCCACAGCACCCACTTGCTGTTAGCAGCCTACCCTGTGGGGGAGTTTGCCCCCTTGCCTCTTCACATGCAACGCAGAACTTGGGCTCCCTAGGTGGATAGGGGAAGCGCTATACCTACAGAGACCAAGGTGTCTTAATCTGGTGTTCCACTGCTGGGACAATTATGACACCCCCCCCCCCAACCAGTTTGCTTTTCCTCAAAGCCATGTTTTCTCTCACCCCCAATCATGCAGCTGAAACTGATTACTTGCTGTTGCATATAGTTTGGCAAAATTGGAGTTGGGGAGGGTTATTCAGGGAAGAAAGTTGAGTGCCCGATTCTTCCTTCTCATTCCTTTTTTTTCCCCCTCCCTGTAGCAGTTCTGCACAGGACACCAAAGCAGGTGCCCTAACATTCAAAAGTACCCAAACTAGTGCTTAAAAGGCAGACGCAAATCCAGTCCTTTTCCTCAAAAGGGGTCCTCAGTCCTTCTATGCCTGCCCTACTATGTTATGGGTTAGATGAAGAAAGCCATCCCAGGTTTTGTTTTTAGAAGAACAAAGATGATATGCAAAGGCCTTTTCACGTGGGCACAGGTAGTTTTTGAGGCCCTGAGGGTGGCTGTTGGGAGCTGCACTGCTTTGCTTTTCCCCACCTTCAGCTGGTGTCTGCATCTGGATTGCTCCTTTTGATGAAGTTGGAGGTTGGCAAAGCACGAACTTTACTGTGAATCTTTGCTTCCCATAAAAAAAAAAAAAAAACAGGGAAATGAACTGATTTCAGGGAGGGGTTGAAGCATCCACAAAGGTTGCTTAGATTTGCCCACCCTAACGTCTGCCCATCCAGCAAGCCCAGCAGGAGTCCAGGGTGAGTACTAAGGAAGAACTTAACTGTGTCCAAGGAGCCAGCTGTTCTCCCCCAGCTCAGGGTTTCTCAGTGAGTTGCAAAGTAATGCTTGCTGCTCCACCCGTCCAACAAATATACCCCCCACCCTGTATCCGTTGCTCCACCCCTTAAAATGAAAGCCCACACGATGGCAAATTAGACAGCCAATTTCCTCTGTTGCAAATAAAACAGCTCATCTTCAAATCAAGTCCTCCCTCCTCCTTCCTTCCTGCCATCTGACTCTTGCCTAGGCAGCCCTTCCCCAGGAGTCTGTGGAATCCCACCTCCCCTTCTTTAAACCTGGCGCTTGTGAGTAGTTTGTTTTGTTATATTTTTAACTTTCTAAAAATATTTGGAAAAGCTCTCCCCAGGGCTAGGGAAACTTTAGTTCATGTTAAGCCATGTGATTACAAAAATACAGTGGAAGGGAATGACTTGGTTTTTGAAAAAGCCAGGCAGGGCTTGAAGGCAACATGCTTGCAGAAAAACTGACTTTTATCACTGGCGGGCACCAGCAGGGGCAGGGCCAAGCCTGGAGGGATTGGGGGCGGGGCGGGGACTGATGTTTCCTCCGAAGCTTTGAATCCTCGGTGAGGGAAAGCTGGCTTCCTGGTGCAGTGGTTGTTGATGAGAGAGGTGTGTGCAGATGGGAGAGTGGAGGCTTCTCCAAGGTTGCCCCGCAGACGCTGGAATGGCGTCCCCAACTCCTTGAATCTCCCAAGAGGTCTCTGTCCAGTCCCACTTCCTTGGCGATGTCCAGCCTTCCTCTCTAGCACTTATGCATTTTGCTGGAGTTGAGGCCTCTCGCCAAGGCCCAGTGTCCCATCCCAAGGGCTGGGGAGGGGTTGAGGGTTTGGGGTGTGGGTGGGATGCACTTTCCGATCAAGGGCAGTGTCACTGGCCTCTTGCACTGAAAACCAGGTCAGCTGTCTCGGGGCGATGAGATGACCCAGAAAGGACTTCTTCCCTCCCCTCCTTCTGGCTGAATTTTGAAAGGTCTCTGTTAGCCTGCGTGTCGCTGGGCAGACCGTCCCGGTCAACTTCGCTTTCGGAATTTCTCTTCTCTGTCCCGCACTGGGCCTCCCTGTCCCTCCTAGCACCACAGACAGCTCCCCGGGAGCGCCGCGGAGCTAGGTGCCGCGGCGGGCGGTTCCCGGCAGAGCGCAGGCGTCCGCAGGGGGCGCGCCGGGGAAGGGTCCGCCGCGCGGCGATCACAGAGCGCCCTCCCCGGCAGCGTTTCCTGATTAGCGAGAAGTCCAGACGGGGTCACATTCCGAAGAACAAAATCTTCAGATCAATAAAGTAATTCAAAAACCGAAAGATCTCGGGGTAAGTAGCGCTCAGTGACAGATCAACTCTAAACCGTTCCCATTTACTAAGTTCTTAGTGGAAGCCGACTGGGGAGGAGCGAGGCCTCCGGTCTGCGGCTCCTCAGCCCTGGCGCCGCGGCGCCGGCGAGGTCGTCAGTGGAACGGCTCTAAACGGCGCCCTCTTCCAGCGCTCGCACCGCCCCGAGGCTCAGCGGGCCGTCGCTTCGGCCCGGGGAGCCCCGGAGCCGCGCTCCCGAGGCGGCCGCCCTGCACGCCGCGCCGGGAGCCGAGGCCGGGATCCCCTCCGAGGCTCCCATCCTGCGGGCTTGGGACTTGCCCGCTGCTCTCGGTCCTGGTCAGCCGGTAGCCCCTGCCGGAGCTCGGCTGAAACAAGAGGACCCGGGCTAGCGCCAGGTTGAACTTGATTTGCGATAAAAGGGCCTGGCCACTGAGTGAAGCCCATGGACTCCGGCCCCTTCCCACGTCTACCCCTTTTCCGTCAAGCTTAGTTCCCGGGTGTGTGTGTGTCGGGGGGGGCAGAGGCCCGCGGTGTGGCTGTCCTCCCGCCCGCCCACTCCTCCTTCGCGCTCCTGTTGCAGCCTGGGGCTTGGCGCCGCGGCCTCCAAGCCCCGCTGCGGCGCGCCGGCCTGGGCGGGCCCCAGTGCAGAGCGCACTTCGGCGGGGCCTCCGCACTCCTCCACTCGGGGACAGCGCGGCTGCCGCGAGTTCCCGCGCCCAGACACAGATGGTGTTCAGGACGGCGCCCTGTAGACCTGGGGCAGGAATCCGGACGCGTTCACCGACCGTGCTGGGGCTGGCTTACAGAGCAGGCCCCTTCTCTCACGGGTCCTGGAGGGAACAGAAAACCTTCTCCTGGGAGAAGCGGACGGGAGCGCGTATCCGCCTCAGGCCTCGTCGTTCCCCCAGTCTTTCCCCACAGGCCTCGTGGCTGCACACGAG